ACTCTGAGGAAATCACTCTAGGTAAGAGGGCAGCCGTCAGACGCATAGCATCCGCGCTCTGTGTGATTCTGAATGAAAAAGAACATTTAGGGTCTGCAGTTAGAGAATCCAAGTCCAATTTCAAGGCACTTAGAACAGAGAGACATTTGAAATGGGGAACCCATAACTCTATAGAAGAAATTGAAGATGAAAGGAGGGGAAAGATTTTTGTTTTCCTTACTTTTTCCCACGTAGGTGCTCAGAGTATCTCCTCTTCTTTCTCAATTTTTACTTTTAACCTCACTCTGGAGTCCTGGGTAGCAGAGATTGTTGAAAGGAATTACAACTAAGGGATTCCTTCTCACTATATGCAGTGACATGAGAGCGCTTTCCTCCATTCACTCTATCAAACATCATGTAGGAATGCATTCATTCATTCTTTTTTGTTCATTAATCATTCATTCACGTTCCAGCACTCCACAGTTGTTTAAGATTAAAAAAAATTAGTTGGATATATTTCCTGACATGGAGAAAATATATTTCTATGGCATAGAGAAAATAATAATCTGTGTGATGCAGATATATAAAAGACATTCTCCTGGTTCTCTCCCAAATATCATGTGAAATGTGTATATTTCTTCTTACGTGGCTCCTTTTTCTTCTTTTCCTAAAATGTATTTCTCAAGATTTGGCCTTCAGTACTGTTTTGTTCTCGCTTTACCCTTTCTTTCCTCATTCAGGCTTAAGACAGGTAACTACTTCCCAAATTCTTTAGCACGAGACTTTCTATAGCAAATATAATAATGAACCGATATAAAGCACATTAGTATGTATCTAAATATTTCATGAACGTCATCACATTTAATTTTTACCACAGTTCTGTGAGATAAGGTTATCTCAATTAATCAAAAGCAAACATTTGGTGGGTACCCACTATATACCAAGTATAATTATAGGAACAGTCAAAATTTTCAAGGAGTAAAATTATAGTGGTGCATGTCAAAATACAGATTTGTGGGACACAAACGAGAGGCATAATACCAAGAAAATTATTCAAAAGCTTGGCAGAAATGTTCTTATTTTACCTTTAGTGTCCTGTCTTATTATTACTAATTCCCTGTTTCACTCTCGAAAGTATTCCAGTTGTAACGCTAAATTTTAACTCATTGGTTAAGGTTGAGGTTACTGGTGCAGGAATACTTTCTGCTTCTTTAAAGATGAGAAGCTAAGGTTCAGAGATATTAAGTTACTTGCCCATAGTCACATCAAAAATCAGAACTTGAACGTGGGTTTTAGACCTCTAATCCAAGTTCTTTTTAATATGCCATGTTGCCTCTCTCCTAGACAAATAGTTGAATTTTAGTTGAATCTTCTAAGAGAGCTGTATTCATTTCTAATATGGATGCAACCCTAAAATACCATTTGAATTATTATTATCAGTCCCATGTGTGTCTGTGATATCTACAAACCTGCCTGGCTGTAGGTCTTGAAATCGTAAGGAGCTTGAATGTTTTAACTTATAAGGATTATTTATTTGTTTGTTTGTTTGTTTGTTTGTTTGTTTTAATGGAGGGGGGCGGGCAGGAGAGGCAACCCTTCATTATTCTCAGTTCCATGTGTGTCTGTGATACCTACAAACCTGCCTGGTTGTGGGTCTTGAAATAGTAAGGAGTTCGAATGTTTAAAATTACAAAGATAATATTTTAACTTGTAAGGACAAAATTGTTTTTTTAAGCATGGTAAATAAAATTGCAGTCTGAAATAGTATTATTTGCATGAGATATTTCTCATTAATCTTTTATTTCAGTTTTTATCTTACAGAAAATAATATTTATACTGCCTTGGAACCAACAGAAATATCACATTGCATATTCACTAATATCATGCATTAGCATGATTCCTATTTTACTGTGTTTTGAATGGTTTAGAGGGGTGGGTGCTTGCAGGTAGGGTGTAAGGAATGAGGTAAAAACTTAGGCATGGTTCCCAATCTTCTCCATCACATTTTTATTGTTGTAGCTCAACATAATCCAGAGGAGACCGCCATGGGTCCCCAGGAGTAGTTTCTAAACACTCCCACCAAAGTAAGAGTTATTTAGCATTAGCCATGCTCCTGTTAGTATTCAGTACATTACAAGAGTGGTTTTACTCTTGGCCAGACTATGGGAGTTACTAGCAGTAGCTGAGTACCTGCAATAGAACAGATACCACATTAGATGCCTCATACTGCATTATTCCATTTAATCTATCCAAGAATTCTTAGAATGTAATACCATGCCTATTTTAGAGGGATAAATAAACTGAAACATAACAAAGTCATAGAATTAGTAAGCAAGAGCCTAGATTTAATACAGATCTACCTGGCACAAAAATCTCATCTTTCCTTATCAGAATTCCCTCATAGCAGTTATGAGAGAATTTTATTAGCTCTCTCAGTTTATTGAACCTAACAGAAATTGTGCAGAACCTACAAGAATGCTTACATAGAGGTGGATACTCCAGAGTATGGGGCCACCCAGTGGCCATGAACTCTCTCTTCAACAACTTCAGCACAAAGTACAAACTGACTTCAAGTCCAGAGGATTCCTCATGGAAGCTGACAAGGAGAGTCTGGAAAAAAATGAAGAATATTGGCTTTCCTCCACAAATAGAATCTCTTATTGAGGCTTGATCTCGTAAGACAATAATAATAAAGTAAATAAGTTGTATTAATGTTTTGTAATAATGCTATTTTACTTTTAATTATCATATGCATTAAGATGCGTGATCTAAATCTAGAACTTTAGTTGTGTGAATAATTTTTCTTCTATTTCAAGTATTTTCACACTAATTACTTTTTACACCTTTTTATTTTTGCTACAAAACTTTCTACTAATTATGACTTTCTCCTTTTCCTTCTCTTCAAGAAGGTCCATTCTCCTTTCTTAACTCTCTACTTCTACTTATAATTTACATCCCCCACACCAATGCAGCAAGAGGCAATTATGAGTTACCAGTAATTACGAAGATGTTCAAGGCTCCTTTCATCTTTCCTAGTTTAAGAATTTGAGACTCTGCATTTTGATTCATACCTAAATTTCTTTTGTTAGGCAAGGAATCTACAACCATTGCTTTCCAGGGTTAGTAGAAAAAAACAAAAGCTTAAAATAGTTTAAAGACAAAAGGAATCATAGCAGAGCATTCTAAAATTCTATTCAAATAAACACATTTATTGAGTACTACTATTTCCGAAAACTGAGAAAAACAGTGGTGAACAAAAATGGACATGGTCTCTTTATGAAACTTAAGTCAAAAATATATCCATAAATTAATTTTCAACTTTTTATTTATCTAACAAATATTTAAATGCCAACTATTCACAGGCATTGTGATAAATACTGCAGTTTCAATGACAAACTAATAGTGTTTACTCTCGGGGAACTTATAGTCTAATAGAACCTAAATTCATTTTCCTTGGAATTTCTTTAGTATATGTAGATAGTATTAATTATTTTAGAAGATAAAATTATCAATCAGTAATTATTAATTATAAGAAAAGATCAGAGAAATTAAATTGGAATTATAAGTGGAAAATTTTCATATACTTTGGAGAGCGTTAAAACAGATCAGTAAAGTAAAAACTGGGATTGAAAATATCATTTCTTTTTGGACAATTTACAGACACCTTTATGCAACCGTTGTAACAAACAAGCGACCACAATGCACACTAGCAGCAGTTTCACATTCTCAGCCTGTTTAGTTAACAACTTTTTCTTTTAAAATAAACCAATAGTCAAATTCATAGAAGCAGAGTGTAGAATGGTGGCTGCTAGGGGCAGATGAGGGGGAAGTAGAAAGTTGCTCATCAAAGGGTGTAAAGTTGTCAGTAAGGGAAGATGAATAAATTCTAGAGATCTGTCCTATAACATTGTGCCTGTAGCTAACAATATTATATTATAAATTTAAAAATCTGTTAATGGAGTAGATCTCCAATTAAATTTTTTACTAAAATAAAATAGAAATTAACATTAAAAAAGCAGAAAGCACACAACAATATTTGTAGAATTGAAATATTTTCATTGTACTGAGATTCAAAATTTCCAATTGTTTGCAAAGATTAAATATCCTGCATGACGTAACTTCACTAAAAGCTACCATCTACATAATACAATTTAGCTGCTAACTTTTAAACAGTTTAAAACCCCATGATAATATCTAGATTTGTCACTTTCTTTTCAGTCAAATGAAAATAGACAAATAAGAAAATAAACTAAGGAATATATCCTATTAGAATGATATTAATACAATCCAAATATTTTAAATATATGTATTTTTATTTTTCAATTACAATTAGAATACAATGTTAGTTTCAGATGTACAACATGGTGATTAGAAGTTTATATAACTTATGAAGTGATCACCCCGATAAATCTAGTACCCATCTGACATCATACATAGTTATTACAATATTATTAACTATATTCCTTATGCTATATTTTATATGACTATTTAATATAATCCAAATCTTAATGCTTATTGAATTGTATCACAATCCATTGTTCTCAACAGAGATGTGGATGTTCAAATTGACCTTAGAGGAATATTTAGGGCATTCGATTACATCTCTGAGTAACTATAAATATGCTCTGGAAAGGAATCAGGAAGATCAGGCTTCCAGGTTGGTCTATTTTAGGGCATTTATTGTTGTATAATTGGTTGTAGACATTAATTAAATTATGATCTTCTGTTCAGTGTTGAAATCTTTGTTCTCTTAGCCCGTCCAGTATTTGACCGTGTTAATGCTTCATTTTGCTTTCTATCCATATTCATGAAGGAATATAGTATCTCTAGATATGAAGGCATAGATTTGCTTTACTAGCCCCTAAATGTCTTTGAAAGAATTTCTAATTTTTAATTTTATCATCATTATGTTTAAACAAAGATTGTTGACAATGAATGTATTGGTATTGTATGTCACAAATCATTCTCCACATTCATGCTTTCATGTCTTTTGTCTCTACCCAGACCTCTCCTCTGGGAATATGACGAATCACACAGAGCTGAATGAGTTTATTCTACTGGGAATACCTCAGACACAGGGACTGGAGACTGTACTCTTTGTCACTTTTTCATTCATTTACCTCTTTACCCTGCTTGGCAATTTACTCATCTTTACAGCAATTGTTTCTTCCTCTAGTCTTCGTACTCCCATGTATATTTTCTTGGGACTCCTATCTATTTTTGACATGTTGTTCCCATCTATAACCTGTCCCAAGATGTTATCTATCTCTCTGGCCAGAGCCATGCCATTTCTTACAAGGGGTGTGCTGCGCAGCTCTTCTTCTATCATTTCTTAGGTTCTACAGAAGGCTGCTTCTACTCTGTGATGGCTTTCGATTGCTTTGTTGCTATCTGTCACCCACTGAGGTACATGCTCATCATCAGACCTAAAGTCTGTGTCACTTTGGTCATGGCAGCCTGGTTGGTAGGTTGTCTTCAAGCCACCATCCTGACTTCCTTCACCTTTCAGTTAACCTACTGTGGCAACAATCAGGTGAACTACTTCTTCTGCGACCTGTCTTACCCCTGGCTTGTGCTGACAGCTCCCTGGCCCAGAAAGTGAGTTCCATAAATGTTGGCTTTCTGGCTTTAATTCTTTTGTTCAGTGTTTGTGTCTCTTACACATGCATTGGGATTGCCATTTTGAGAATCCGTTCAGCAGAGGGCAGGCAGAAAGCTTTCTCTACATGCAGTGCCCACCTCATTGCAATCCTCTGTGCCTATGGACCCGTAATCATGATCTATGTGCAATCCACACCCAACCCCTTGCTTGGTGCTGTGGTGCAAATATTAAATAATATCATCTCACCCATGCTGAACTCATTAATCTATTCTTTAAGAAACAGAGAAGTGAAACAATCCCTGAAAAGAGTGTTCCACAGTGTAGTACTCTTCCGAACTAAATTATGAGTTTTGTAATGGATTTTGGAAATTTATTGTCTCTTAACATTATCTTCCTATATCTTCCCCTTAAATAAAAATGTTTCCTCTAAAGCATGATATTTTGTTTGCCTAATAAAATTTCCTATATGTTTGTTTCTCTATAACTCTTGGGACCCCATAAATAACTCTATAATATTATTCTCAGTGCCTTGATTCTGGGTAAGGAATCCAAGGGGCACGGCATCAGCTAGACAGATCTCTTACCCCTACACTGGGCAGCCAGTTTTGCCTGCTTGGGGATAGTGAGGATCTCTGTCACTCCAAGAGGCACCCTTCAGTAGTCCATCTCCATATGAAATCATCCCTTATTTCATTTTTATTTCTCCATTCAGAATGTAATTGTTTCTACTTTCTGTCTATAAACTTTCAGTTTCCCCATGTTGCTAAGAATAGTTTTAACCAACATTAGTGAGTATGAACTTCAGGCACTATGATGAACATTTCACAGATATCACCTTATTTAATCTTTACATCATCCCTACAGAGTTTCCATTTTGGAAAAACAAAAATGAGCTTTGAGGATTAGAGACTTCAAGCAATGGGCCCAGTTTGCACATTAAGCAGCAAACCAGACCTTGAATAGATCCAATTAACTACAAAGTTCCTAATCTTTATCCCTCTATGATGTGACTTCCCTAAAAGACCTGCTTGGCAAGTTACTCATTCTCATCATCTCTTTCTAGAGTTCATAATATATATAAAGTATTCAATAAATAACTGGCAAAATATGTACTGACATAAGTCATGTTCACATATTGAGTTTATTATTATCTTCCTTTATTCTGTACCACTGCTCATTATACCCATCTGTAGATGGGGTGACTGTGATATAGCAATAAGTATATTCCCCTTTATGACATGTCTAGTTATGGTAAAGCCAAGCCTAGACCTAAGCACTCTTAACTCCTACTATCATGATTTTCCTACTGTGCCAGGCTGCTAATCTCCCAAATTACTCCTTAGTATAAAAGGATTGGGAAAGCCTTTCTGTCCAGGATTGTTTGAAGAGAAGATGGCTGGATTATGGGGTTTAATCACTATGCCCATTTGAATCTCTTACCAAGTTACATTTTATAACTTAGCTTTCAGCAATACTGAGTTGATAATCGTTTCTCACTTTTCTCCAGAATCCAGGTACAAAGAACAGGTACCATTTACTAGAGATCCCACAGACAAACTAGTCCTTAGTTTTCATGACATTTTAGTAACTTGTACTTTTTCTATTCCATTTTTACTCATAAGTCTTCATCCTACTTGAAACCAATAAACACACACCAAAAAATCTCAAATATAATAAATTGCTGCTCTTATAAAGGCTGTGAGGCAAAAAGGACAAAATGAAATGCATTCAAGGATAAATAAAGAGTTTGAAGTGCAATATGAGGTTTCTATGGCCCCTCATAGCCTGACTAGCAAAATCTAAGATCACACAGAATTGTATTCTCACACTTTGGGAATGCCTATCCTAGATGACTTGCCAGATCCAAGCAACTCTAATATTAGTTTGTTGTCCTATTACTGCTGGATATTGGTGGAAGAACCCACATTCTATGACATCTCTTTGGTAAAGCCTGGATAACACTTATGAACAGATACTCATCACACTGATACTCATATCATTCAATTTATTTTCTATACAATGAAAAGTTCTATAAAAGTAGCAATCATGTTTTTCTTATTCACTGTTGCATCACAAGACATAACCCCGTGGCATAGTAAGCAACCAGGGTAAGTTTATTGAATGAAGGAATGGATGGATACTACTTAATTAGATCAAATTATGATGTAATTGCATATTTATTCACAAAGAGGAACATGAATGAAATAACTAGGATGTAGAAGAGCAACATATCTTAATTTAAATATATATCTACATACAAGTAAAATTAAAGATATTTGAAAGCTGAAATCTGAATGAACTCTACTTTTTTGGCCACTTCTAAATCAATGTTGCAATGACTGTTTGGCATTGAAAAAAAAAAAAACTTTAAAACAATTTAAATCTTTCTTACATCTAAAACTTTAGTAAAACACCTAACATAGAATTTTATTTAAAAGACATGCGAGCACACACACACATGCACACACCACTCCAAAGAAGACATACAAATGGCCAAGCATTTAAAAAGATGCTCTATCGCAATTAGGGAAACGCAAATCAGACTCACAATAGATTATCACCTCACACCCATTCGAATTGTTATTACTTAAAAAAAAAAAATAGTAAGTGTTGGTGAGGATGTGGAGAAATTGAAACGCCATACACTGTTGGTGGGAATGTAAAATGGTGCAGCCCCTATGGAAAATAGTATGATGCTTCTCCCCAAAATTTAAAAATACAATTACCATATGATCCAGCAATTCCACCTCTGAGTATGTATACAAAAGAGTTGGAAGCAGTGTCTTGAAGATATATTCATATTCATAACATGTTAATAGCAGCATTATTCACAAGAGTCAGGAGATAAAAACAATCCAAGTGCATGAATGAATAAACAAAATGTGGTATATACATACAAGGAATATCGTTCAGATTTAAAAAGAAAGGAATTTCTGACACATGCTATAACATGAATGAAATTTAAAGATGTTATGTTAAGTGAAATAAGCCAGTCACACAAAAATACTGTATAATTCCAGTTATATAAGGTATTGGAGGAGTAAAATCAATAGAAAAAAAATGTGGTTGCCAGGGGCCAGGGAGCAGAAAATGTGCAATTGTTGCACAGATACAGAGTTTCAGTTTGTAAGATGAAAAAGTTCTGGAGATTGGTTACACGACGGTAGGAATATACTTAACACTACTGAACTGTACACTTAAAAATGGTTGATAGTAAATTTTATGCTACGTGTATTTTACCACAATTTAAAAATAAATCTACTTATTAAGTTTTCACATATCCTTGTGGATTTTGAGTTTGCTAGTTCTCTCCTTTTTCTTACAACTATTGTTGAAGCCTTTCAAATCACTGTTTAATTGTTAAATACCTCAGTTTGGCATGGGCAGAAAAGTTAGAGAATGTAGCCTAGGTAGCCTTCAAGGAATCTGTCTAGAGTTACCTTTTATCGAGTCTTTACTTCTTACCAAGCACTGTGCAATTGCTTTATATTTTATTAAATTTATCTACACAAAAACACTGAGATCATGTTACAGAAGGTGAAACAAGGTTTGAAGATGTTAGGTAATTTTCTCTAAGGCACACAATTTGTTTGTGTATAGAATTAGGATTCATCTCAGATCCTCATGCAGCTATACACAATATAGCAATTTTGCTGAAACTTTGAAAATAAATGTTTGTCCTTTTACACACAGACCCCAAAAAAATCTTACCCCAGGTTTTTTTCCTTTCAGTATCTCTGATGTATGAGAGCAATCCCACATTATTTCTTATTCTTGTGCTCAAGCCCTCTCTTCCCTTAGCCAACTGTAACTCTTTATTTTCACAAGTTACACTCTACCTTTTCTATTTTTCATTAATCTTTCATCCTAGCTTCTCTAGTTCTCTCCTTACCAAATACACTAATTCTATAAAACAAAGGCTCAGGGAATATGAAAGTCAAAGGCAGAATTCCCATAGCAGGTGGAAATAGTAAAAAGATTGTAAACATTTTATACCATTTTTTTTAATCTTCATATAAAGATATCTATGTATAAATGAATTATTGGAAGTATGTTTACCTAAATGTTTAAAAATGGGCAATCCAATTTTGGGTGATGTTTACTTTCTTCATATATTTTTATTTGTTACTTTCATGATTTTGCAATGAAATAGTAATTAAAAAAAAAAGATATTTTTGAGAGAAAAAAAATAGGATGCCCAAATATAGGATCAAATGAAGCTAATTATTTGAATCAGGAAGTTTTAAGGGAAAAAAATTCAAAGCAATTACTTTGGAGGAGAAACCACACAGTTGTTTCTAAACCCGATGACGTATGTATTATGTTGTTTATAAATTATGCCTGAACTAATATGTAATAAAATGTTCTAACCCCTTAGAGTGGGGTTCTATTATTCTCATCCTCAATTATTACTATCCTCTGTTGGGTCTAATCTTCTGGGTATTCCCAGAAGATAGCTCTGTGGGGACCTTACTTGACTACTAGAATCGAAGTCCGATTCTCAGTGTACGTTCAAGTATAGAAAATTAAAAAGTGAAAAGTGAAGTTCTGATCTGATGTCATCAGATTTGGCTAAAGTAGGGCATTAGTCCACATACATGCCCGGGAGCATTTATCTGACTTAGTGACTATCTTTTCTCCATCCATTTTTCCTGACCAAGTTTTCAAATTCTAGTCCTAGATTCTTCCTTATTTGCTCCCTGAATGTGTTCTGTTCCCTTCACTAGATAAAATGAATTCATTTTATTTCTCCCACATACATTCAAATACAACACTGCTTAAAACCCTCTTAAAGTTTCTTAAACTCCTAATATAAAAACATAATCTTTAAAGTGACCGATTGAGCCCTGAGTAATCTTTTTCTTTTCTGTCTCTCAAGCGTCATCTCACAATTATTTTCCTTTCTTTCCTCGAGTTCTTTAATGCGCTGTGCTCCTTCCCAGAGGCTTGGCACGTGGTCTCACCCCTGCCTGGAGTAGTGTTTGCTTCCCTGTTGCCTGCATGTTTGCTCACTCTTCCGCTCTCAGCTTGGACAATGCTTTCTCAGGGAAGTCCTCCACACCTTTCAAGGAATACTATCTATCCATATATATCGCAATGTGTGTTCATCCTCATTGACATGAACAAAGACGGGAGTGAACTACTTAGGACACAAATACTCTCCCATTATAATGCTTCAATCCTTTGAACTTTTCTTTCTAGCACATACCATATGGAAGACTTATAATTTATGTGTATGATTATTTGATTAATGCCTTTTTTCTTTTACTAGACTGTACGCTCTTCAAGGGCACAGATAAAGACAAATTCCTGCTCACCAGAACATAGCAATTTTGGCACATCATGG